TGGTGAAATGGACCGTGGAGTTGGGTGTCAGGGTAGGATCCTGAGCGATTTGTTGCTCGATGGATTGTTGGAGGGCATGAGTCAATTCTTGACCTAGATTGTCCCTGGGAGTAACCTCTCTATGTTGTTTGAGCGTGGCTTCAAATCTTTGTTTGTTGAGGACGTTTCGCCAGTTACAGCGAGTGCCTACGGGTCTTAATTCGAATTCTAGGAGTGGTCTTGTGCTGCTACCACCACCGGTTTGGGTCATCACTTGGTCGAGAGCCGGATCAAAGATCCAGTCATCATCATCGTCGAAGAACGCCTTGTCATGGGTCCGTCTGTTCTGTGAAGACATGAGTACAATTTGAATGAGAGAATGACACAAACATTGCTTTTTATCAAGAAACACAAAGTTTTTTTATTGGTTGGTTTTTTACAACTAATCACTGTAGTCCTTATTTACATAACTTAACACGGTGTGAAAATTATATCCTAAATAGATTTTCCTTTTCCTGTTACGATCGTCGACACTGAATATGATCATATGATGAGGGGTTGATCCATACAACAATTTACAAACATTTCGGTTACATTTCGCATATCGTATTTCTATGCAACTGCGACCCCGTTCTCTTTTCAGTTGATCGTAATCTGAAATTTCTCTGTGAAGTTCATTCAGCAGTTCATTGTTCTTGCGGTCGAGTATGTGCTGCCAGGTGGCCAAGGAAAGTATGTAACACTGTAGTTCTGGAGGTAGCTTATCCCAGTGACTCTGTAAGAACCAATCATACATCAGCGGTGAACAAGAATGATTTTTTCCGATCTACGTTACAAAATGCGTTTTTAAAACTAAATCCTACATAGACTTTCTTTTTCTCATTATGAATGTTGACATAATGACCATAAAAAGCCATGTGCTGAGGGTTTTGTCCATACAACAATTTACAGACGCTTAGTTTGCATTTCCTCATTCGTATTCCTGTGTGACCGTAACCCCATTGTCTCTTCAGTGAGGCATAATCTGAAATTTCTACGCGAAGTTGATTCAATGGTTCATTGTTCCTGCGGTCGAGTGTGTGCTGCCATGTTGCCAAGGAAATCACGTAACACTGTATTTCTGTGGGTAGCTTATCCCAGTGACTCTGTAAGAGAGTTGGTATGATATTTTCTTAACCATCTATTATGAGCGTACTTGGTGTAGTATTCACTGACAGGGTAGATGAAACCTTTTTCTATTGGGGTGCGTCTCCTGGCACTTTTGTAAGAGTCGGATAAAAACGTCTTTTGAGGTTTATCGTCAATGTCGATGTAACATCCGTATATTTTAAAAAATTCGAATTTTTTCTCCTTATTATCTCGGCAGCATTGGTAATGACATGGTTCTATAACAATCTTGATGTGTCCTATGCC